TTTGATGTGGGCCCATCTTGAAGACATGGGTTGAATTACTAAAACATTAGAGCCAGCTGCATATCCAGGCATGAGTGGCAGAAGGACAAACCCAATCTGCGTGCAATAACAGGTTCACACGGGGAAGCTTCGAATTCTGTCTCCACCCTGCCATTAGTGGTTGCTGCGTTACAGGAAAGCTGCAGTCAGCGCTACTGAAGCCGGTGAGGTGACGCAAGTCGATACAGGCCAGGGTCAATACAACACAACGTTACCCATTCTCCACAGCAGTCGGGATTTCTCCTGCTTTCTGCCACGTCTGCTCTGCGAGGGCTAAATACAGGCCACCACAATGGCATCACAGCATATAAGAGCTGTTCTGCTTTAGCACTACAGCCACATCTCAGGTGGAATTATTTGCCCAGGACAGCCCAAAAGCTTTGCAGCCAAGCAGGAATCCGAGCTCAGTCCGCCAAGCCACACTTACTCTTCCAGCCCTTTGGGGGTTGGTGGGCACATCTGGAATGTCGAATGGGCAAGGCCCCTCACACAAATAGTCACAAGTGGTATGACCTCAAAAGACATACTTCTCAGAAGGCAAACTGTAGCCACCCGTCATTTTTAACTCCTAGATTAAAAATGCCTACATTTTTATTTTAATTAAAAAATCTTGTTTATTTTTTAATTAAAATAAAACTTTTAATTAAAATCCCACTCAGGCAGGCATGCTGTTCTGCCTGCCAAGCCCGCTAAGCCCTCCAATGATAGGATGAGCTCAGTCAAGGACAAAACAATCAGCTTTGTGGGTCTAACAACTGCCAGGATTGCTCCACCTGCCCCGTCAGGTCCAGGAGGAGATCTGGGTGTAGCCAGTGCCTTTTTCTTCCCTGAAGCCTGGAAGAGACCAGCCGTGCAGAAAACAGGAATGCCACACCTCCCGTCTGCAGCCCAAAGGTGTATGCCAATCCAGGAACTTCCAGAGGAGCAAAAAAAAAAAACCCCACCCTCACCAGCACTGGCGACGCAGGCCACAGGACATAAACAGAGAGCAAACCCCATCCCATTTTAGCACTGAAGACGTTACCTAGCCGGGTAATGAAACATTTGCAAGAAAAGAACCAAGCTCAGAGAACGCCAAGGACTCCACGGTGTGTTAGTCTTCCAGCAAGGGGAAGGGGGGGCAGCACCCCCGGGACCCAAGGCTATTGCAAAACCCATGGGCTCCATTTGAGAAAGGCGGGTGCCCAATTCCAAAGCCAGCTCTGATCTTGGCTATCACCCAAGCGACCCGGGGAACTTTCCTCCTGCTACTCCCAGAATCAAGAGCAACTGCTGAAGAAGGCAGAGGCAGGGCTTGCTTGCCAAGAGAACATTTGCACAGAGAGGAAGAAATTCATTTCTTTGTTCCAGCAGAGATGCCAGGGCTTGTTGACATCCTGTGGAGAAGAGCCTCCTTTCCTTTGAGAGCTCCTGGCCTCATCGCAGCTGGTGCAGAGCAGCTGGCTGAGATGAAAGGGCACCTCACCTTCACATCAAGAGGAGGGGAGGGGAGGGGAGGGAAGGCGGAAAGGAAGACTTGGAGGTCAACCAGCAGGAGAGGAATGAGGCTGTAGACAATCAGCAGGCAGACCCACTCAGAAGCCAAATGGTCTGCCTGTCATTCACTCGTTCAATTTGTTTCCAATCTTTTGGCTCAAGCAGGTGTTTATATCTTGCCTCTTCATACACCATCATAGAGCCAACACCAGTTTGTACAGGCAACCCAATTTCCTCATGTTCACCTTTACTCCCCTGAACTTCTTAGAAACTGAATCACAGGTTATAAAGTGCCTTTTTCATTCATTCATTCATTCACTCACTTATTTGCTTACTTTATTTGCATGCCATCTATTCCAGATGCTCTCGGCAGCTAATAATTAGAAACTGCAGTGGGCAAAATATTGTTCTTGGATTTCTCTTGTAGCAACCTGAACTGGAAAAAAATTATGCAACTGTTGGAAAATTACTATGGGTAAGTTCGAGTTTAGTTTGCACTAAGCAGACTCCCAGTCAATTTCTATGTCCAGATCACAACAGCCACCCATTCCATTCAATTTAGCTGCAAAAAATGATCTGATCCAATTTTTAAGACTGCTTACACAAGCTCGCACTAACTCCCTCCCCCCCTCCAAGATAGGTAGGAAAAGGAAAGCATGGCTGCTATCAAAACTACTCATTGTGCAGGTTTCTTGGGGCAAAGCCGTCTGTGGTCACTTCACCAATGCATCTATCTACTTTGCCACTGACAAAATGCATATGCAGGATGAAAACATTTTAAAGTGGTATTTAACTGACAATTCAGTAACATTTAACACCAAAATACAAATGAAATAAAAACCAGTAAGAGAAAAAGGATGCAGAAATTAACTGTATCGCAGCTAAGAGATAAAACCATAGAAGTGTAAATATAGGAAGACTGTTGAAATACAGAGATCTTTGCAGTCCGTTGCAAGAGGACAAGGGCGGCAATGAATTGTAGCGGGAAAATGATTGATTTATTATGTGTTGACTATAGTTCTCAATATTCATTCTTAAATAGTGGCTTTTAGTCTGTTAAAGCGACATACTACTACTAATAATAATTCAATTATTTATAAGGGTGTTATACTGGAGAATTATAACCTTTTTGACATTTCTAAACCCTTTGTTAATTCATTTGTATTTTACTTTTTACTCCCTCCTTGTCTTCTTCATTGTTTGTTTATATATTTTTAATGTTCAATTGAAAAAAGAGTTTTGAGATTTGAATTTCATTTCAAATAAACATTATTTATGTTGGAGCTCCCTCTTCTGGTTAAAAGAAAAAAAAGGGAAGGGAAGGGAAGGGAAGGGAAGGGAAGGAAAAAAACCCAGTTCAAATTGGTTCAAATGAGATAAACAACATACATCTATTTGAAGCAAGCAAAACAATAATATCCAGAGACAAGTATCTCCAGACTAGTAACATTCATAGCTAAACTGTTGCAGGCTTTCCCTTTTCAGGTTAGGCAGTGTGATGGAGAAATGATGAATTAAAGCTGCACACTCTTCTCCCCCTCCCTCACAGCTAAAACAATGGGAAAGCCC